CCTCCGAACTGGACGGAGCTGTGGGCGGCGGTTCGGGGGGGCTGGAGGATGAGAAACTGGATGCCTGGCAGGTGAACGAACCGGAGCCCGAGAAGAAACCCTGCAGGAAGATGACGACCAGCAGCACCTCCGTGTACGATGAAGGGCCCAGCACTTCGGCGGCAGCGGCGCGCAAGCGTCGCGGCAGCAAAGGGAGTCGCGGCAGCAAGGGCAGTGGCAGTGGCAGTGGCAACTACCACTGCGAGTTCGAGGACGAGGACACCACCACCACCACCACCACCACGGTGATGTTCCATCAGGATGTCGGCGAGGCGTACAACAACTGCTGCAGCAACACCAACTACAACTACATACAGTGCAACAGCTACTTGGATCAGGATCTGCAGATCACCAGCGAGGACATCCATCAGTATTTGTCCAAGGGCGATGCCACGGCCAGTGATATACTGAACAACTCGAAGAACTATCCCTTTCAGCCCTCGAATGCTCTAGAGTTTCAGTACAAGAACAATTTCCAACAGGGTCAGAGTGCGAACAACAATAATACGAACACGAACACAAACACCACCAATACGGCTTCCAGTGATGCGGCCGAGTGTTTCCAGAGCTACAGGGCCAGCTCCAAGGAGACGAATCTGAACCAGAGCTCCACGGAACAGCTGTCGCCCACAGACATCAACCTGTCGACGAGCTCGAACAACATCAACATTGTGTTTAGCAGCAGTCTGGAGAGAAATGCCAACGAGGTGAAGTTCATCAACAACAGAAGTGCTGGTGCTGGCGGTGGCGGTGGTGCAGCTGGCAACTCCGAGGTGGGCTGTGAGGGCCATCATGCCGGGTACTTGCCGTACACCTATCCCAGCTATGACTACACCAACATGTCGGGCAATTCGCACTTCGACAAGCCACTGGGCATAGACGAGCTGCCCAAGGAGTTTGCCGGGGCCGGTGGCGGAGGTGCCTCCACCACCAGTGAGCACTCGTCGTCGCTGCCATCGCCGCAACCGCTGACGCACCACCAGCAGCTGCACCACTTTGAGTCCTTCGACGCCGCCTCCGAGCACAACTTGCTGGCCCAGCCCATGTCGCCGGGATCCCCGCTGTCGGGGTCCATTAATCCCGCTGGGGATGATTTTGTGCAGATGCATCACTACCATCATCATGCCACCTCACCACCACAATCGCAATCGCAAAAGCACCGGCAATCGCTAACGCAAACGCAAACGCACCCGCACCACAGCCACACCCATGCCCACGCCCATGCGCACCAACACCAGCACCAGCACCACCTGCTGAGCCACCCGAGTGGGTCGCATCACGCATACGATCTCACCGAGGAGCAATTCCGCTTGGGATCGGCCCTCAAACGCGTGCGCAAGCGAGCACGCAAGTACACCGACTTCCTGCGCAAGAAGTGAGCGGAACCGGGACTCACTGTGCATCCCGCCTCCTCCTCCTCCTCTGCCCTCCCTTTAGATTCACCCTACTTCGGGCGCAAGTATCTGGTGGTCTCGAAGCGCCGATCGCAGAGCCTGGACGAAGACTAATCACGTGGCGACTGGACAAGCAATAATCACTGAAGCAGCGCTGATGGACAGCCCTCGATCGAGGAGCGTACTTAAATTTAATTACAATTTTTACACTGCCAAAAAAATTAAGAAAATTAAAGTTAATTTTGTGCTAAGCCAAAACTCTGTTTAAAGCGAGGATCACACAGAAACACGAACACATGCACAATGGGGAGGGTAGATTTTTAAGGGGAACATAAAGCGGGAATAATTGTTTTTCTTTAAAATTATAGGGATTACCTCTCCAAATTTACAATCGAAAAGTCAAAATAGTTAAGAGATCTAACGAGACTAGATAAGAGTAGAAAATATCAGGTTTTCTTTAGTTAGAAAAGGTAAATAAAAGCCCCTATTGTGTTTTCAATAGATCTTTTAACACCTGGCTTTATGTTTCCCCTCGAGAGTTGCACTCCCCCAAATGCACAAATCACACACACGAATCACATCGGCTACAAACACAAGAGGAAGATGAACAACGACTATTTTAAATAATGAAAAGAAATACTTAAGCTAACAGTGCGTATACATAATAAATACAAGCGATAGGTGAGAAGGACATTTGTATATTCAACTTAAACATTAAGCGAAGGTTTTGAATTTGCATATTTAAATTGACTAAACCCATATACATAGTTAAGAGCCAAGGCAAATGGAAATAATAATGCACACCTACTCAAGCCTAGATGATAGAAAAACCAATCTAAAATACCAGTTAAAGCTAGCTATAAGGATGCGATGGATCAGATCGGAGCAGCGCCACAAGATTTAGAGTTTCAGCAACTGCAACTGCAAAAGCAACTGCAACTAAATAATAATATTAACCATTAATTAACAACCGAAAACGGAAAGACAACAGCAACTGTAGTTTGGCACACAAAAGGCAAAAGTTTAATGTTAAAAGGGAAAAAAAAGAGTTAAGATTACACAGAAAAGTGAGAGTTTTGTTAGCATTTATTTGATATGCGCGTTTTTTCAGGGACTGCTTGCGATTTTTGTAACAAAGCAATAAGCCGTTTTGCTCAAGGATTAAATACATTTACGTTTTTTCCCAACCCCACAAATCTTTTCGATTTCCGCCAGATTCGTTTCAAGTGTATTTTTATCCCCAACAACTGTCTTCCAATTATATTTTCTAGTCGTATCCATCTGTAGCCTCAGTTGCTTTCGAAAACTCAAATAACTAAATGTAAACTAAGCACTCCAACTTAATTTAATGGCCGTTGAATCAGACGTACCTTGCGTGAGAATAAAATGAGAAAATTGTAAATAACTGCTGTTGATTAATTAATAACCTAATTTACGAGTAACTAACTAAATGAACTTAATTTGTAGTCATTAGCCGAGGCGAATCATTATGAATTAGTGAACCGAAAATAATAAATATAAATGCACTGCCAAAAACAAAGGTTTTAAATAAATGAACAACAACAAACAAGAACAAGATCGAAGTGGAGACACCAAAAACTCCAAAAAAACAAACAAAGACGAAGTTCGCAAAACCAAATCGAAAATGAAAACTGCTGTAAATATAAGAATGAATACATATAGAGAAATCATAGACATTTTTTAAAGGCACATTAATTAACGAGGAGCATGCAATTTGCAGATTTTCTACATTATTTTAATGAACTAAGCAAAACAATAATGAGTTTAAAGGAATTACGAAACCAAAACCAAAACAAACAAAATTAAAAATGCCAAGCGGCCGCGCGATTTTGTAACAAAATCAAAAGACAGAATGTTAACATTGCGTAAAGTTAAATCAAGCAAAAAGTATAGACATAAAACAACACTAAATGGCAACAACCACTCAAACACGGCACCGGAAATAGAAGCGGAAACGGAAACGGAAACGACTACTTATTTGTGAGTTCGATCCGATGGTCTGGTGATGGACTGGTCTTAAGTTGTGTGCACTATTCGAACTGTAAATAACAGATCAGAAGACGTAGCAATTAGCCGTAAATACCACCCCCAAACAAACAAACAAAAACAAAAAAAAACGGACAGAGTTACAGACATTATCCAGTAATAGGAAATCGACTATGGAAAATAACTAAATCCGAGGCAAACCCTTTTCAAGTTCACGTAGCCAAGACACAAACTTACCCGAAAGTTACCCAAAAGACCCTCGAATCGGAGAGATTTCGATCCAGGGCCACGATAATCACACACACACACACCACAAACCAAAACCAGCTGCAAGAACTAGAGAGATGCCGTTTGAAATATATATAGCTGAATTAACACAATTAACAATGACATAATGCCCTAGCGATTTTTTTTTACCTGTTTGTATTTTAGTTTGTGGTTCGGATATGTTCTAGCATTTGCCATAGCCACATATAGTTGTGTACATAACTAGTTAAAATTGTGCATACAGAACGGTTATATTAAGTATATAAATACACGCAAAGGTGAATATTAGAGAGTCCCACACAAAAACAAGCAAACACACTTAAAAACCGATACTGACTTGACACAGATTTAAATTCTGATACACTGGGAGAATCGCGAGCCCCAATTTAGAGGCTGGATGGAGAGGACAATGCGGGGAAAATAATGCGAAATAATAATTATATTATTAATATACAACAATAAACTTGAACCTAGGTATATGATTCTGAATTTAAATAATTTTTAGTAAAGCAGAACAAAGAAAACAAAAACAAAAGAAAAACCAAAACCAAAAACCGAAAACTCTAAACACTTGAATGAAATTAAAAGACAACTTATTAAAAATACAAATAAAAAATTGATGAATTAAGTAAAGTAAATTGCTCAATTTAGCAGAGAGTATAAATAAAGAATTATACGTTAAGTAATAATTTCAAAATACAAACTTGTCTTATTTCTGGGAATGTGGAATTCAGGGTAAAAAAAAGAGTATAGCTTACAACGGTGGAATGAGAGAGCGATGATCGAGAAAAGAAAGAAAACTTGGATATCGTTTTCTTCGTTGGATCAAAAATTGTTTGGCCGATAAGATATTTTACTTTTGGCTTTTAAATACTAGTCATATTGCTTATGTGGCCGCCTGTTTAACATTAATAAATACCGAAAAAGTTTTGAAATGTTCTAAATTAATAAAAAAAATATTTTTACGAAACGTTTTTTAAACAAAATAGATATGTTGTTTTTCAAATATTTCAACTGTTTATGTAGTACAGAAAAAGGATAAATAGCTATTCTACAATTAAATTTAAGAGATTATTAAATACCGAAAAAGTTTTGCCATGCTCTAAATTAATAAGAAGAAAACATTTTTATAAAAAGTATTATTTCGTTTACGGAACGTTTTTTAAATGAAATAAATAAGTTATTTTTCAAATATTTAAACTAAGGATAAATAGCTAGCTCTGGTTTCGATACACACCGATAGTCAGGATTGCTGTGCGCATGTCCAGGAAGTGTCAAAATTTGGTGACAGCTCACGGAGCTTCAAGTGTATATACCGTATCTTCGATGGGGTGTGTAAGCGAATCGAATAAAATGGAAATCTTAAGCATTTAAAATGCTAACCGCCCTGCGTCGGAAAATTCGGTTTGGAATGCAGCGCACGGTTTTAATTGCGGTCCTGCTGGCGGTGGGCATTTTCAGCTACGCCTTCCTTAATCTCAAATTCTGCTTCAAGTTGATGTCCCACCGGAGCCTCAACTTGATGGTAAATTAGCCACAACTACATATTTCATTTAATGGAACACTACACTTTTTAAATATACCCCAACTAAACAGTGCCAAAAATTCGAAAAGCATGAGTACAGCGGCGCTCTGTGTGAAGAACTTTGTGGTTCTCAGTCTTCCTTCGACAACTTTCAGTGTCCACTGAACGATATGAAAACTATTCTGTTTACGGCCGAGAAGAATGGCGATATGTATGCGGTGAAGGTAGGTCGCGTTTTCCGGCTTTGCTTGACAAGAATACGGTTTCCTATTTCCCCTTTAAGCTGGCCCGGCACAATGATGACGAACTGAGCTGGACGAACAGCAAAGGGGAGTCCATATATCCCAAACTCGAGGAGTTTCATGAGATCGTAAAGCTGCACATCATACTGGCCTATAATGTCACCCTGGACGATAATATGGTAAGGCTCTGTGAAAAGTATTTATAAATATTAGGGTCTAATCGACATGCGATCAGAATAGTAGCTTATAGAAATAGCAATCAAAATAGTTTGTAAACAAATTTGTATAACACTATAAAACATAAAAATAATCATTTGACAGAAATACAATTTTTTTTTAATTTTCCTAACATATTTTTATAAAATGTTAACAAAAAAAGTTTTAATTTTTAAATTAAATATAGGGTCAAATATTGAAACCATTTTTATTCCAATACACAGTGCAGGTGATTGAGGCTAATTAATTAAATCACTTTCTTAAATTGTTAATCAAAAAATGTTATCTAAAAATGCACTACATTGGAGGGGTTATTTTAGGGAGTTATAAACAGTTTTCATTTTTTTGTAACAAATAAAACAATACCATAGTTTTTTAATATCTTATTTGTAATTGGTTATTTAACGTAATGATATATTAAAAGATTAGTTGTTAGGGCGATACTTTCATTTATATTTATGTATATATTTATATTTATTTATTTATATTATATTTAATTTCGCATGAGTATTTTATTTTAAAAACATTTTTTATTAATTACTTTCAGATCCGTGCTCTGGTTAACCAGGAAATATCCGATGATAATTCGCAGCAAATGGTTAGTTTTTGGAGGCTGTTCAAGGACAACAACTACATGATGGGCAAGCTCTTCGACGAGGAGTCCATATTCCCGGCAGTTCTGGGCTCCTGTGGACCCTACTATGCCACCGAGGGATTGCAGATCGTGCAGTCCAACCCCAGCATTATGCAGTATCTGTGGGTGATATGAATGTGCTCCGGCTGATCGACTGATTGTGAGTGTTTCTAACCCTTTCAGGGCCTCCAATCGCCTGCAACGGCTGAAGCACGCTCTAAACATTATGGAGTACATATTTCGACTGGACGAAATGAAGCCGGAACCACTGAAAATGTGCAAGATGCAGGTGAATCGCTTTGGAACCGCCTCCGAGCGAAGGCTGAAGTACCAGAGTGCCGAGCATGTCTATGTGGAAAGCCAACTGGACAAGCGTTTGTCGAGGGGCGTCAAGTGCCACGCCCACCAGGACTGCCACTTCCACTCCTGCCGTGGACTGTGCGACGAGGAGAAGCAATCCTGCACGCACGTCCAGCAGAACAACAACTTTCAGATATTCTGCGAGCACATCCTTCTGGGCGGAGGAACCTTCCAGCCCGGCCTACTCAGCGGCGTGCGCCTCTCAAAAGCGCTCCAAAAGCTGGTGAGGATGTGCGTCCAGCCGCCCAAGGAGCATCAGGTGCCGGGACGCCAGTGGGCGCCCAATATGCAGCTCGCCCTGAGGCTCTACAACGAGCTGAAGCAACTGCACCAGGCAGCAGCCACATCCGCAGGATCCGACATTCCCGACGAGGGACAGGCTCGCCGGGGAGTCTAAAATGCCCGGAAATCTGAAAAAACTCAAAAATCGACAGATGGTAGATCAATTGGCGCACAGCTTGCTCAAAACTGGTGGCATTTTTACAACTAGTCTTAGTTAAATAAACCCAAATAAAACAGAAAAACGCTTTTAACTAACTACATCCAATCCAGTTTCTCAGCCCAAAAAATTAGCTCAAAAAGACTAGACTGTTTAAAAAGTCAATTAATTGATTCAACCTTAGCATGTAAGCCTTTATTTTATTGTAAAACAACTTTTGACTAAGCCTGCACAACATTTTGAAGTCTAAAGTTATAGGAATGATATCATATCGATTTTATATACTCTTTAGGAACATTGTTTTTATACCCTTGCAGAGGGTATTATAATTTCAGTCAGAAGTTTGCAACGCAGTGAAGGAGACATCTCCGACCCTATAAAGTATATATATTCTTGATCAGCATCACTAGGCGAGTCGATCTAGCCATGTCCGTCTGTCCGTCCGTCTGTCCGTCTGTCCGTCTGTCCGTCTGTCCGTCTGTCCGTCCGTTTATATGCAAACTAGTCTCTCAGTTTTAAAGCTATCTGCATGAAACTTTCCCAAAAGTTGTCTTTCTATTGCAGGTAGTATATAAGTCGGAACGAGCCGGATCGGACGACTATAGCATATAGCTCCCATAGGAACAATCGGACAAATAAATGAAAAACAATTATAACTTTGCTGTTTTTTAATTTTTTGTTTAGTTCTTCGACATTTAGTAATGGTTAAATATTTCCGATTTACGGTTTAAATTTCATCAAAATCGGACGACTATAGCATATAGCTCCCATAGGAACAATCGGAAAAATAAATGAAAAAAATTATAACTTTTCTGTTTTTTAATTTTTTGTTTAGTTCTTCGACATATAGCAATGGTTAAATATTTCAGAATTATGGTTTAAATTTTATCAAAATCGGACGTCTATATCATATAGCTCCCTTAGAAATAATAAAAATATATAAAATAACTATCAAATAATTGAGCTGCAAATCATCATAGCTTCAATGTTTTTAAACATATACGAAAGTAAATTATAATTTTAATGTTTTCAAAAATGTTTAATTCTTGCAATAGCTGCAAGGGTATATGAACTTCGGCTTGCCGAAGTTTGCTTTCTTTCTTGTTTATTATAATTTTTAATAAAAGAAAGAAAAAATATGTCTTAGGAAGAGGAAAATATTATACCACATCAAAGTTTTGGCTAATATGTATTCACGAAAATTCTAAATAATTATGAGAATAGTTAACCCTTTAGAAATCATTGGTGTTTCAAAAAATATCAGCTGTCATAGTAATTTATTCAGAGTACTCAGATTCTTCACCATCAGAACCATTTTTAACTTCTGCACCATGAGTTTTATAGGAATAGGAAACGTTTAAATACTCGTCATCAATGTCTTCTACCTGCAATACAGAACATTCTTAAATTTCGCTAGGTAAGTGTCTTTATAGTACTTACATGAAATCTCGGAAAAGTTGATTCGTGATGTAGAGTAAGTGTCAACGGTTCTTGAAGTGCAGGATCCCTTACAGACTTTAGAATGGTGTTAACTTCGCTTACAAAGTTTGGGGCCTCAGCCCCTTCTTCTGAAAATTTCAATGTCACGCAATCGAGCTTTTGACAAGATTGAAAAATCGGCAGTAAGCCATTGCTTTCTATTCTGGCCAATTCTACACCATTCTCAACTATGGACAATGATTTAAGTTCGTTTAGTTGACTTAGGTCTGACAAGTTGTCACATGTATTCATCATGAAGTCAATATTTAATTTTGTAAGCGATTTAATTTGCGATATTTCACGGATCTCAGCAGAACACACAATTGGTGTTTCCAATTCTCGTAACGTTGGCTCAGTTTTAAGACTAAAAGCACGGAAAAGTTCATTGACCGGGTGCCATGTCTCACAGATGATCAGTTCTTGAAGATTTTTTATTTTTGCCAAAACATCTAAGCCCGGCTCACTGCGCAATATGCATTTTAAAGACTTCAAAGATTCCAGCTGGCTCAAATAGCAACATTCTATGAATCCAATTGGGGACTGCAAGTCCAATTTTTGGAGAGTATATGGTGACTTGTGTACCAAATCTCGTAAAGGATTTTCAAAATTAACAATTTCACCTCCGTAACAACTTTTTATTACCAAGTGATCTAGATTTGGCAGTCGAACTATCATTTGAGCACATTCTGAACTGCAGAATCCTGCATCCAATTTTGTAAGACCATGTATTTTAGAAATTTCCGACATTTCTGCTATGTTAAGAGTTTTGTCCGTAATTTTCAAATGCTTCAGCCTATTTCTACTATTTGAAGAAAACGCTGCAAATAAAATATGTAGGGAATCATCGCTATCATATAAACTGTTTATGGTCAATTCTTCAATATGCGAGTTTGCTAACTCGGACAAGGATTGGGTGTCTTTCACTTCAGAGAAATAGCAATCCAGTTTTCTCAGTGACCTGATTCGGGAAACATTTGCAACTTCTTCGGGAAGGAATTCTTTGGTAATGCAAATACTTTGAATTATATTCTTTTCTGAAAGTTTTATAAAAAGTGGCGTCAGATTTATTTTTGAATCTTTTGTAAAAACTATCCCAATATTTTCATCTTGAAATATATTCAAGTCCTCAAGATTATTCAAGTTTCCCAATTTCTCAATTCCATTCAGATTTGAAAAGGAGCCCGTTAGTTTCTTAATAGTTTGTATTTCAGACATTTTTGATATGTCTTCAAAATCTGTTTCTTCTAATTCCTTTAGATTTAATTCTTCAATGGCGCTGAAATTGCTGGTGGCGAATGCTTCGAAGAGTGAATTAAGTGATTCAAAAATTGGCCACCCTGAGATTTCGAGGGTGCTAACGCCCGTAAGTTGAGCCAGAGGAGTCAAAAGTTCGGCATCAAAGTTTACTCCCATATATATCTCCAGCTTTTTTTCCTTTTTTTTAAAGACAATATGAAATCGTTCGCACTTTATGGAAGCTTGCACTTGACATACGGTTAACAGTTTGGGTATAAGCCTTGAAGTATTGGAATCAATAACATCGTGGCGAACTTCGATTCGCAGGTGTTGCAGGTTAGTTAATTGATTTAAGGACTCCATTAAATGCCATTTGGAAAAATTGCACTCTAAAAATCGAACTGACTCTATTTTCGCAAGTTCTATGCACTCTGATTGATCTAATGTTTGGTAATTCATTTTAATCGATTTCAAAGCAAATGAACCTTTGGGGACCATTGATTGTAGAAAATGTGCAATTGTGTTGCATTTTTGTTGTATAACCAAGCGACTTAGATTGGGTAGCTTTGATAGAGAACCCATTTGGCTAATGTACGACTGCTCATTTAATTTTATCACAAGTTCTCCATCGCGACGGTCAAACTTAATCCTTACTTGATTACTTGCTATGGTTGCTAGTGATTCCTCTACTGAACAACTGTCTTTCAATTCTTGATTTAAATCGTATTTGCTTCTAAAAAAAAGGTTCAAATAAGGGTAATTACAAATGTTACGCTCATCTAAAGGTTCGTATATCTCCAAATAACTTAACGAGTCAAGAGTCGCAAACGTAATAGGCTGACTTTCATCCCTTATACGATCTTCGGTGGTCAGGGTCAAAGGTCGAAGACTTCTGGGTCTGTGCCATCTTCTTAAATCATTAAAGAAAATCAATTGTGAACCGCTTTTTCGGATTCCAATTATAGTTATTTTTTGTAGGTTCGGCAACTTAGCAAAGGATGCAAATTGGGTAACATCGCATCCCGGGCCTAACGTAATTCTTAGCTCTTCAAGATTCCCACAATGGTTTACGATACTTGAAAGACTACCATCGGGTACAATTTTATCCAAGTTCAACTTTTTTAAATTTGGGATAAGCATGCAAATGTTATCTAATGCTTTTTCTGTAATATTTCCATTTAACATTAGCTTCCCAAAGTTTTTAAGGTCCGTTGAGAATCCTTAAAATAAAATTAGTTTAAGGCATATAATATATATAAATGCAAAAGTTGTTCATTAAAGTTGTTAAATAAGGGATTATAAATATGATTATAATATGTTGTTGCCTTCAAATACAGTGATATAATATTTAATTTCGTTCTCGGCATATCAATTTTACAAATATGTATGTAAATAACAAGACCTTGACATACCTTTTATTCCAATGATTACGTAAGCGAGATCCCTGTGTTTATCTCTACGATGGCCAAAGTATAGCTCAACAGCAAAAGGATTTTTTTCTCTGATAGTTTTTAGGTGGGATATAAAAAATAATTCGTTTCTGTTTGATGACTTGTTGACTCGTAGGTCTATCAGTAACTTTGTGACTCCGCACGCAAGAGCCCACTCAAGTTCCTCGTACAGCTGTGTGTGATGAGTTTTAAACAGGTCCAGGAGGTGTTCATGGGCCAGCACGAGATTTATTAAATCATCGTAATGATAAGCTTGACTCAGCCAGCTGCATTGCTCTTTCTTCTTGCAATTAACAATCACGTAATTCATTATCTCCAAAAAGCATTTTTCGGTAAGTACAAATTGGCCGTTTGCGTCCATTTCGTTTACTGATCGATGTGTCTATCGTTTACATAAATAAAGGAAGAAAAATAAACCAAATTATATAAATATTTAAAATTATAATTAAAAATTGAAAAGATATAAGAAAATACAATTTTTTAAATGTTTTCGACTAATCTCGGTATTCTTACATGTGTATTTTTGACAGTGACTTATTGCTGTGATTTTTAAAGAGAAATCAAGCTTAAAAATATATGTATATTGTTTGTAAGTATCTCGACAGTAGCACATACATATATATGTATCTGATAAGTCAATAAATATTTGGGTGTTTGTTTACATGTATTAATGCGCATATTGCGTAATTTCGTGCTTTGTTCAAAGGAAAGAGAGAATGGGGAGGCCTTGGTTTTTTTTTTATAGCGTATACACAAAGAAAAATAATTTTAAGCAAAATGAAATCGGTGTTCTTTCATGTTTTTTTAAATTACCCCGTATTTTAAATGAAACAGTTTTTTCTCTGCGTGGAGATACGACTCATTTCGTGGTTCTTAAAAATTTTAAGAGTCAACCAAGAGATTTACAATTTCATGAGAATGAAATACTGCCTTTTTATGTGTTTTTGTATATGAAACATATGTATTTACATTATGGTGGTCTAAATTTGTAAGGCAACTTTAGAATTCTACTCAACAATTAATACAATGCGCTTTGGAATACCAAAATGAATTTTTTAGAAAAATTACAATGTGACGTTTAGGAATTGGATTTCTAATTTTTACTCACAGGTTCTGTTAATTTTAATCAAAAAATGTATGTTTTTTAAGTTAAAGTTAAGTTTTTTTAAAATCAATTTTTAGCATTAAAAAATTTAACCACAACTCTAGTTTTTTGACCACCCTAATGTTATTTTAGAAATATTTTGTAGGCCCGTATTGAACACGCACATCCACCCGCAAAAATCGCATAATCGGAAGTCTTGTTGCAGAGCTTTCACACCAGTGCAGGTGCAGTGCAAAACCGAAACAAACATGTACAGTACTCTCTCTAAAGAGTTAATACTAGAAATGCAAAACTGCAGATAATAAAATAAATATTTAACACACTTTTAAAGCACTTAAAAGAGACAACACCAAGTAAATACCTGCTAGATTGACGATAAAGATCCTATTCACTTCTTAAATTTAGAGGCACACGTGTTGGATTTTTCAGGGAAATGAATAGCCTTGCGCAAACTTCTAGTTTTGTACTCTGAATGGGGATGAAACAGCTGATGAGGCTTGCGACATTTCTTCTTTTTTATTAACCATTCACATACAAACGCATTGACTGTAGTGTAGCGCCAAAATTCAAAATTTTCTTAATATTTTTTCGCATTCTGGGTTTTGGTTGAATTTTAGGGAAAACAAAAAGTGGGATATCATGAATAAATAAAATGCAAACAAGCTAAACCAAATTAAACATTTCAATTGTATATTTTTCAAAGCATGTGTATGACGTGATGAAAACCCAAAAACATGATTTTAACGTAAGCTGTAATTGACAGGGCCCATAGCTGACAAAAAGCTGGCTGATCCAGCACAAGGCGCCAAATTCAAAAAGTTTGAGTTGAGTATGTTAAGTTTATTCAGCTACTTTTGCTTTATTATTATTCACTTTGAAAATTTCAGATTACATGCTTTGTTGGTTACATACAATTTGCATATTAGTTTCTGGATATATTTATATTTTCAGCCACCGCCGGGGTCAACTGTTGATCTCGACTGGCATTTTCCAAACGTTTTCCCGGGGGAAAAGCCACGAGGGCCCGACTAGCTTGCCTGCTTACTTGGCTAAAACACAGATTAACACGTTTACTTCATGCTGTTCGCATTGCACTGGCGTACATAATGTCGTATTTGTAAGTAATAATTAGATTAGTTAGAGTAATTAGATAAACTAAAACACACACATTTCAATTACCACAATTATCTAGAATTTCGACTGGGGGTTTAAGTACAACAATTAGTTAATCGGTAAGTGCCATTAATATAATCGAAAAGAATTCAGTATGTTACATGTTGCGATCGATCGACTGTGAGTTGAGTAGCTCTACGAGTAAAGTGCAAAAATGTAGAAAATGTTGTGGCCATTTGAGTTCCTCTCACTGTGCGTTTGCTTGTCATCCGATCCATCGATCCTACGATCCGATCCATCGTCGCGACTTTAACAATTAATTACGAATTAAGCCGGAGGTTCGTTTCACAATTTTTGTAAAAAAATACATTTCATGTTCGCTTCCTACATTTAGCTATGCTAAATCATTATTGTTATTCTCGCATTGATATATTCAAATTGCATTCATATTCATGTTCCAGACTGTAGCCGGTGAATCCGTGTGTTTGGTTGCTTTCAGAGACAAAATCGATTCCAAAGTATCGTATGTGTGTGTGGGTGTGTGTGTGTGTGTGAACAACCGCTTAGTAACTTTGTCTCGTGTTTTTTACAATTATTCGTTTAATCAAATCCTGGTCCTGGTTGAGTACTTTTGCTTTTGCGAGCGACACTTACTTGTAGCTTGAATGACTCTGACTTATCCTCGTATCCTACACTGTACATTATCCTTACTGTCTCCTGACTACCAACTAACATAAACGCACAGACACCGAAGAGAAATATGCTTTGAAAAACTGGATATTGGGTATACAGGTTGCTTTCGCTTAAGTGCTAGTTTTAAGGTATTAGGGTTCCATTTTTGATGACTGCTTAATCTATATGTTTTGTGTTTCTCTTTGTTTTTCTGGTGAAAAGAATAACTGAAAATAGAACAAAAGTTGCTAAAATCAAAATCAAAATACAACTGAGTAGGCTTTTGATTTATTTTGGGCATTACTAAAAATTAGGATAGTTAAAAACTTATTCTTTCTGGGTTTGTTTTGATTACGTTTAAAGCTTACATATTTTATTTGTAAAACATAAAGTACAAATACGCTTTGCATTGCATTCGTAAACTAAAGTTAAGCTTAAAAATATTTTCACGAAGTTGCCGCACTCGAATTAGTGCCATTACACGAATCTCTGCTTTAGTTATCCAAAGCAAATCATAAATCATTATCATAAGTTTAAACTATAATTAACATTTAGCAGTTAAACTAAAACTAGGTATCGAACTAAGGCTATAATAGTTATACTCTTACTCTGCGTTCAATGCGAATACAAATACGAAACGAAAAGGTAAATTGCTTTTGATTCTGAGTAGTTCTCGACTGTCGTTCGTTATGAAATCAAATGTGGAAAACTTAAACTAACAGCAAAGGAGTCTAATTAAGTTAAAAATGCACACAATGTCGAGCAAATAATACTTTGCGATTCATATACACAAATCCGGAAACAAAAAGCAGAAAAATACAGAACAGAAAGGCGGCTCAAATTGGGAACTAAAAAAATTGACTGAACGGAAACGCAGGCGATGACAAATAAATAAATTACAATTACAAGTTACATACAAATTAGGATTGAGTATGCGTGTGTATCTGGGTGTGAGCAAAACGATCAGTGAACAGCAGTGCGAGTCCAATGCTCACTTGGGTGGCGAAAAGGAAAACCCTTTGCCCAAAACACATTACAATATCATTTGCTGCTCGCTTGCTTTCAAGCATTTTGCGCACTTTCATTTGGAATTGGAATTCTTCCTCAGAGGGCGTTCACTTGTTTTTGGTCGACAGGGGATTGGAGAGCATGAAGATCAGGTCGTTCTGCTGTTGCAGGATCTGGTTCAGCATGTCGCGCCATCCGGCGTAGTTGTCCTGCGAGGCCGCCTGGCAGATGATCGTCATCTCCGGAATTTTGGGGTCCGTTGACCTGATTTGAAAGCGGCAGTCGCCCAGTTCCTTCATTTGCATGTGATTGAGCTGGCAAGAATAAATATATATTATTAACTATTATTACACGCTTCCTTTCACTATTCTCACCTGTATGTGCGATCGGTATTTGAATGTGGGGCTGGTGAACTGATTCTTGGCCTTCTCAATGTCGGCAAAGATGATGATCTGCTGGAAGAGGAACACCTGCAGCTCGCGGTGCTTTTGCGCCGCATCCACCAGGCAGTTCATGGGTCCCTGCATCAGCAGACTGCCCTGCGCGGTGATCTCCCCCTCAAAGTCCTGCAGGCTGCGCAGCACCACCATCATGTCGTTGACCGTCTTGACCACCACCTTCATCTGCTGGTAGGCCTCCTGCAGCATGGGCACCTCCTTGTACAAGCCGGCTCCCTCCGTGGCCTTGATGATCTCCTTGATCAGCAGCTCGTATTTGGTGATGCGCTGCACCGGCTTGATGATCAGGTTGCTCAGCTGGAAATTCAGACAAAAACGGTAAAAATTAATAGCACCTAATAACCAGATAACGGACACCGATATTATTAAAATTAAAAATAATTTACTTTTGATTTTTTTTTTGGATAATTGAAATTTATATTTATGAAACATAATAAATATCAAAAAATAGTAATTATTTATACGCGAAAATAATATCTCACAGAAATAATTAACGATTTTATTTCGTCTTAAATTATAAAAAATAATATTCTAAACGGACAAAATAAAAAAGGTAATAAAATATAGGTGACTCCTTTATATAAACAATTTCTAATATTTTAGTAAGTTTAATACTGTAATTTTAGCTGTCTGTCATATGGAGTTATTTATATATAGTAAAATTGCTAGCAAGATAATAATCTTAGCAACAGAAATGATTTTGGGTAAGTGTGTTACTACGCAGTTTGTTGCAAACGAGTTTGATTCCCTCAGCCATCATAGTTTTTACTCATTCATACCCATTATTTTTAACCAATCAGAGTGTTTGTGATATTTTTAACCAAAATAATATCCCTCAAAAAATAATTATAACTTCTAGGCTTTATTTTTTGGTCGCTTAGAAGTGATTATATAAATATAATAAATACAACAAAATAAAAATAAATAAACATATGAGAATATAATCTAAATAGCAGGGAAATGTTATAGTTCAATTAAATATGCTTTGATTTGGATGATTTTGTAATTTGAGAAAACCACGATAATGACTATTTTCTGACTTTGAGCATAGCCAATTAAAATCGTATGCATTCATTGGGCAAATCCAATTAATAAAACTGATCAAGCTAAGTAAACTTACATCCAGGCGATGTCCCAGCTTCTGGCGTATGCAATCGAAATACTGATAATGGGCACTGACTATATATTCTGACAGCGGCTTATTGCTGCAATAGGTGTAGTACAGGGCGAACTTGGTGGCCGAGCGCGCAATAAGTGGACCCAGATCCGCTGGTGATTTTTGGCAGGTGCGCAGGGCCCTCAGAAAATAGCTGCGAATATAATTTTATTAAATAATAAGATATATATATATATATATATATATATATATATATTTATGTATACTCACTCCCTATGCCACTCGTAGATGTCTTTGATGTTGTTAAAGACCAACTTCATTTTGCCTCCCTTCAAATCTTCAGGCATGGGTATATCACTGTTCGTGTTGTTGATCTCTGTCATGTAACTGGAAACGGAGGGTATAATAAAAAATTAGATCAGATTTGTTTTTAAGGAGTCAGGCTGTTTTACATACCCATCGACAATCTGACGGAGATCCTGTACATACGACTCCTCCGTGGACACTAGCTCCGCAAAGACGCATTGTCGCTTCTTGAGGGCACCAGCTTTATCCGAACCCTTTGACTGGCCCTTTAAATAGTTCATTATATAAATTATAAACCAAGAGGAATGCTTTTTAATCACTCTTTTACCTCTTCATTGTTGTCATGGGAGCGTCCATGGCCATTGGTGCTGGCATTCTCAGCTCCTCCGCTTCCATCCACGCGACTGTTGGACTCGTGTTGTTCCTGCAGATTAGAAATTAAGAAAAGCATGGGTTTAGTCCCGCCCACGGCAACATAGTCCAAAGCACTTACCGTTGTCGTCTTCACAATTTCCTCTATTTCCGATAATGGATTGTTGTCCATTTTGCCGGTGTTGGCCTGCAAATGTGGGAACAAAAGGAAAAGATGATTAAATACTTAATGAAAAAGTTTGAGCAACGATTGTTGCATTATCCCCTTGTGCAGCAGGCGACTAATTGAAAAAGTTTTTGCGCCATCCGTTCACTTGATGCAATCACTTTTTTTTTAACCAGCAATCTCTGTTGAAATTTAATAAACTATGTGTTTTATTGTGCAGCGTGGCCGTAAATAGAGTTAAGGGAAAAAAACCTGTATCATTTTGCGGCCATTTTCACAATAAACATTTTCTAGACGGTTGCATGTTTAGCTCGAATTGAATCACTCGCTTATTTTTATTTTTCCACACGCGCATTCGCACACAGGGCCCCAATTAATTCAGTTGCATAAATAACAAACTTAACTAAACACAAACACACTGATGGCACACTGTTGGTTTTACTAAATTTATAAGTTGCTAAATTTGCTTTGTCAGTAGATAATATTGTGTAACAATTGTTTCTTTTCTGCTGCTCAACTTTCCATTCTTCGTTGGGTACTTGATTTTCTACTTTGCGATAAGATAAAAAATGGTCAGCTGTTTGGGCTTGGCGAAATTCGGAATTTGTCATCGAAAGTAAATTACAACAGCGAGGAGAATGCAGCTTACAAATAAACGGAAGAAACAGCTCATGGCACGTGTTGCTTAAAATTCCGGACGTACAATGGATGTTTTTTTTTTTTTCTATTTTGTTTTTGTTGTTTTTTTTTTCGACTACCGTTTATGGAGAACTGTCTTTCGAAAATGTGGCCTTTATAAGGACTTTGCGACGTCGGCGCATTTTGGTAGTGCCGAGAATGCCGAGAATCTCGAAAAGCGACTGAGCGCCGAGCGATGAACGGAGCGACTGGCTGACTGGCCTAATAGTTTTGCCTGTTGCCCAGCATGTTTTACATATGTAGGCATAGCCCGCCTCTAACCACCCACCCACTCACGCACACCCACACAAACTCACACACAGAGAGTGAATTCCCCCCCCTTTCGACATCAAAAAGAAACTCTCAATCAACGCTTCGCAAAGAATTTCGTCGCAGTCACTTGAGGAAAAGCGTTGAAATAATTGTATGGCATATACATATAGTATCGAATGAGCGAAAGCTAAACAGAGAGGTATAGTGATATGGATATAGGGAGGTCGGTCGGGGATCTCTCTTTGTATTCCCCGTGTGCTCAAAAGTGTGTGTGTGTTTTGTGTAGCTTTGCTTTGCACTGTTGTTGTTATGAATTCTTAAATACATAAATTAATTCGCATTTTGCGGCGAAATGTTCTAGTGGGTGGCAGTGATCGACAAGGAAATACCTTCGGCTATAAAGCCTTACAAAATATTTTAGCCATAATATACGAAATGTATTGAATATTTGCTACAATTCTTTAATACCAATTGAATCAGTTATCTAAGATTTTCCGGTAATTAAAGCAAAATATATTAGTAATATATGGTTAGCTAATTGTTGTTTGAAAACCCAAGAAAAATATTTTCAATTTTCTAAATATCTAAATTATCAAATTTTAGTCTAATATCTCTGGCATGAAAAATTTAACATTTACGAACAATAACATTTTGTTTAAGTAAAGAAATTCATGCTGTAACCTCTTTTGGCAACAAAAAATGTAACAAGACAAAATGAAAAAAACCTTTAACATTTTTCATCAACACTATTCTTTCTGTCAAAAAAGGATTACTTTTTAAGGCTATAACAACTTTTCACAAATTCCAAGTAAATATATGTAAGAAGATAAATATTAAATTAAACAAATTATAATCTACATTAGATATATAAGATATTTTTCGTAGAATTAATTTTATCAGCAGCATTTAGCCCACTTTCGTGGACAATCTTATTTCAGGGGATTCCTAAAGCTTCAGCTCTCCGTTTGTGCATAGGAAGTCTGATATCAGCGGACGTTGAGTTTTACATTATAATTTCATCAGCGGAATAGGAAAACAGTGAAACAGTAAAAGCAACAACTAAAAGCAACAATAAAGGAATAATAAAAGCTGTAACCAAAGCAACAACAAAGCGGCCACGTACCCACGCAATGACGTACCCACATTTAAGTGGTGTGACATTTAATTAGCCTGTTCGGAAAAGACGGAGGGAGTCGATTTGCAACGGCTGATGTCACATATATCCCTATACTCATATATATATATAGGTAGACATACATATAGAGCATTTGCAAAGGGCGCGAAATTCGACAAGGAGAACTATTAAAAATTAATGACAATGCAAATAGGCGAACTAAACAAAGGTGGCACAGGAATAAGGCCAAGACCCGAATGCCAAGTAGGCCAAAAAGTTAACACAGACGGCATACAAAAAGCTAACTGGGTTAAGAAGTTCGCACCCAGGCGATACGATACAAAAAAAACAAAATAGTACAGAATTTGTAAACAGGAAAGAATACAATTAAATGTTGACGCATCAAGGCGAACAAAAAAGAAAAAACGTGTACAAGGCAGTCGAAAATTTACAAGTCTTGCGAATTCAGCTAATAAGCCATCATCATCATCAGCGAAATAGAGAACTCGGAGCAGTATAGAACAGACCAGACGACATTCAATTTATTGACGGACAAAGTGGCTATAGAGATGGCGACGTTCTGGCGACGGACAATTTGGGATGGAAAAAGCTTCAAATGGATGCGAGACAACTAAATTGGGGAGCTCTCAAAACAGAACAGAACCGAAAAAAACGAATCATTAATCAATTTCAAGGAGAGTCAGAAGCAAACTTTAAAACCCCTGAAAGTGCAAGCACTAAAAATATGCAGCAATTGGGGAATTACGTAAATACGTGACGAATATATTTTCTGAAATTCTGACATTTCAAATGACAGACAAAGTCAAGAATTCTAAGAGATATCTCTAATTAAATATTTTGTGAAGCTGACTTATACCAAATTTGGTTCAATTAATCTTAAGTTCCCTTTATTTATTTTACAGGAATTAATTTTGGCAAGAATAAATAATCAAGAGGTAAAATAAAAATTCAAATGGCTTTTGACATATTTTCAGCTTTCATTGAGAACGCAACACCGCACCCAATTAAAAGGCGAAAATATGAAATATAGAAGAAAGAACGAATAAACTGAGTTGGATTTGTAGTAAACACTGAGAAACTTATATTTGAAAAAGCTTGTAATTAGCTAAGTGAAAACAATTCCAAGATGAATAATTTTAAAAAGCAAAAATACAGGAGTTGACTAGATCATGTAAACCAAAAACAATTCTGACTTTATTTTGTAAGGGATAAGGCCCTAAAGTAATTTATTGAGTTTTGCTAGAATGAATTCCTGTAAAATAATAAAGTTATTACTCTACCAACTTGGATTTATTGTAGCATACACTTGTTCATTTAATTTAGTAGCACACACAAGAAGCAACATTGTTTCGAATTCTGCAAAACTTAAGACCACGTTCGCCACCATGAATCAGCCAGCCATACTCATTGACTATATCCTTTCCCTGTAATTTGCTCTCAAAAGTACCAACCAAGTGGAAGTCCCGCCCCCACGCACATTCAGCCGACAAAGTCTGTGGGTTAATTTGACTGCCGAAATTTATGCGTCGTATCTGCGTGCTCGAGTATCTGTGTATCTTTGTATCTGTGTATCTTTGTATCTCTGTATCTGAGCGTTGCGGTCTATTCACTCTCCTGCTTCGAGTGTAAACAAAATAAAGTGGCGCATTTATGGCAAAGGTGGCTGGCCCGGAGAACCAAAAACCGAAAGCCGAAAACCGGTGAACGGAGGAGGATTTTGTGCCCCCTCTGCCACCTTCTGTTGCTGTTCTCTAATTGAGCAGAGACCGTGCTCGGATTGCCGATGACGTCGATGGAGCAACGGAGCGGTCCAAAGTCACAATAAACCGCTTTGATTTGTGTGGGAAACACATATTAGAGGAGCTGCGTGCTAAGCAAACAAACTTGAAGCCCTCGAATGGGTGGCAGATTGGACGAGAGGCACACGAAAATCATTCACGTTAGGGTGGGTCAATGCTTTAGTGTTTCAGCGCCGAAGGAATATTTTCTAATTCTGATCTTATTAAATATTATGATGATTTAATGAATAATAAAAATAATTTAGAAATACTTTAAGTAACATTATTTCTGAAAAAGTCGTTTATTCTATTACAAGTGTTGGAGAACACAATTTTAATTTTTAAATATCTATTACAAAAAAAATCTAATTAAAAATGGCTTGGTAAAGGAAATCTAAATGCTACAAATGATATTTCATATAACAAAATTATTTAATATATTTAAAATGTCTTCTGTAAATATCGAAGACCAAAATTTCTAGATCAAACGCTGTCTAATTTCAACCCTTTTTTTGCTCTTCATTCAAAAATCCTGGTAATAAATCTAAAACAACTTGGTAAGGGAAATGGCCAATTATTACAAAAGATGTTTCCTGCTAGCCTTGCTGAATGCTGAATAGCCCACCCGCGTGAATTCCTGTGGGAAATCTACGCGAATCCGTGCCGGACCTGGGTACTCACCAAATTGGCCGAGCTCTCCTTGGCGTCCTTGGTAAATGCGGGCGGTCCGTTGGCAATCAGGTGCGGCTCCTGAATGGGCTTCATGGGCGGCGGCAGCTCCAGACCGGCCTCCTCGTCCGGCTCATAGTCCCCGCCTGGATGTTGAGTGGAACTGGGGAATTGCGATGATGGCACCAAGGTGGCGGGACTGCCACCTGGCTGCTGATTCTGCTGCTCGGCCAGCTCCTCGGCGTGCTTCTGCGGTGTCTAAACGCAGACGCAAAATGAGAAAGAAAAGCAATGAAGAGACGTCAAATGATATAAATAAACGCTCGTTAAACAAAATAAAAAAACCCCACACTCACTCTCAGGTTTTTCTCCGAGGGCTTCTTCACCAGCGGTTTGCTATTTGGCGGCTTGTCTCCTCCCTTGCGATTGATCAGCGGCAGCCAGTTGCGCCTGAAAGATTCAAAACAATTCGACAGTTAAGTGACAGTTCGTATACTTTATAGCCAAGTGTTGTAGTAGTAGCAGTAGTAGTAGTAGTAGTAGTAGTAGTAGTAGTAGTAGTAGTAGCAGCAGTAGGAGTAGTAGTAGCCTACAGGAACTTGCGAATCGTTGTTTTGGTTTGAACAAATTCTTCCATCTCATGACGTGCCAAATAAGAAATGGAAATAAAACAAAAAGCGAGGGAAATGCTTGATGGCTGTCCAGCTGCGTGGCCAACATCAGACTGTCGCCAGCATCGACTGCTAACTTGGCCAAAAAGCGCCCGCTGTTCGGTTGTCGCCGCCGTTGGCACAGTGGGCGCAATTCAATTCCCCATTATCATTTGCCTCTTTAAAGGGCTACAGCACGCAGTTGCAGCATAAAACCAATTTTAAAGTCAAATTTACGTTTATATCTCTTTCATTTCGCTTTTTATGCTTCAAGTTTTTTACCGCATTTTCCATAAAGAAAATATTTCTTTCAACGCTCCTTTGATTAATTTGCAGCCAGAGCAAAGTTTATGGGTCAAGTTTCGGCTTTTTGTGAGGAGCGCGTCATTAATCAGCCACAGTGAACACTGTCTGTGGAGGACGAGTTCTGCAGCAGATGGCTTGGGTTTCAACAGCTCATTTGGGGGCGGAAACGTTTTACGGTCAGTGGAAATGCAGTAGGGAAAACAGCAAAGCCGCAAAAAAAGCTCTCTTTAAATATGCCATTTATAAATTATTAACTAAGCTTAATTAACGAGCAAACTAGTTGCCTTAAACGCTTCAAAAATCGATATCAATTAAACAAAACACAACAAAAGGAGCTGGGGAGGTGTGGAGGTGGAACCCAATGGCATGTAACATAATTTGAAGTAAAAATAAACATTGACACAGACGACAAAGAAGAGGGACGCGGTTTTCGACAACAAGGACGACTGACTGGTCAGTCAGTCAAATTAAACAAGACCAGTTCAGTTCCAGGAATTGTATTTAATTTATTATAAGCTTGTCCACATTCAAAATTCATTTGGCTGATGTAATGTTTTAGGCAAATAGCCAAAGTGCCAAAGTGTCTCCATTTTCTATCAGTACTGATGGCCATGTTTGTTTGGGTGTGTATTCATGGGGCCGCCGCAAAATATGCAACAAAGCTAGCCGGCAAATTTGCAGTTTCCGTCTCCTGCTACTCGAAAACAAATTGTGCACGGCAAGAACATTTCCAATATTTCCATTTTTTATTATTTAATGTGCTATACTGGTGGTGCTAGGCTTTCAAATAAATAACTTATTTAATTTAAAGTTTTGAACACATTCAAACGGCTTCAAATAATTACTTATTTAGGTACGTTGTTCAAAATAGAGTTAAATTAATTACTTATTTATCCTATTCTAGAATCATGCCATTTTATTTAAGACTCATTTAGCATGTGATACATTTTTTTATAGCTACCCCTATTTGTTGAGGAATATAAGCATTGCGGTTTTAGTGATAGTCAAACGAAAACAACTCGGCAAAAGTCTTACGATTAAAATTTTAAGCAACTACTTATTATATAAACAAATTTTCATCACTTTTTTGGATGGTTTAAATATTATTAATTACAGTTTTAGAAAGATGTTTCTATAACTTTGAAAGATAATGTAACATGCAAAATATTATTGAAAATGCTATAAGCAAGTTTAACAAATTTAAATCTATTTTTTTGGGCTTGTTAAATTTTAATGCATTTATTCATTTACTAAATTTGGCTCAATTTTTAATAATTAAATTAAACTCATAAAAACGTTTCAAATAGTCTGTTTGCTTCAAAAATTATTTGTTTTTAACATTATAAAAGCATTATTATTAAACTGTGAACAATTTTTTCAGTGCCTTTGAGTATGGTTGGAACACAAATACCGATGCAGGGCAAGTCCACTTAGTTCATTGGACTTGGGAGCACGCGCTACTGAGCAGGATCCTTTTGCCCACCGCAGCAATATAGCATATAGCAAATAGCCACCCCGGTTCTTTGCATATATCCTGGACAAACACACGCGCATATTGACACAGTGCTTGAGACAAAGAGTCCTGACCAAAGTGACAGCCATAAAGAGAGGTGGGTCGGAGTGAGTGGGGTAGTAGTAGTGGGTGACTTGGACAATAATCTATATTCATGTTTGGCAGGAATAAGGCGATGAGGAAAAAGAGGAACTAACATCACTTAATGCTCACTCGAGTGAGCCAGCAGCAAACAAAGTGCCCAATTAGTGTGCAAATATTGAAAGTATTGTTGTGTAATTGCCACAGAGAAACAAAAATGAAACGAAAGCCATGGAGAAATAGTTCCCTTGCCTTTGTATCACCCACAGTTAATGCTAAAGCGCGATAAGATTACTCAAAATGAAAGAGAGCTATTTAAAGTCTAGTTGCGCCTGAAGGCGTAATTATAGGAAATAATACTGCATAGAGCTTTCGATATGAAAACAAATCAAAAATCAATCACAGAGAGTGGCGTTCACACCCCACTCTCTTTTCTTTGCGGGTCCCACGAGGCGTATGATTAATACGCATGGTCTCTTATCGTTCAACTTTTTTCCTCACACACTTATCTCTGCCATATTCACAACTAATGACGAAGTCCAATGCTGACTAAGAAAGGACAAAGACGATATAGTATATAGCAAGGGTTCCACATTAATAGAACTTTACCTTTAAAGCCAGTCAGAAATAAACTTTAATCACTTGCAGCGCTCACACAACAGGTTTCGATCGAAGCTGTATTAGATAATTGCGCAATTATCGTAAATATTGGTGGGAAAAACGCAACCGGTTGCCAAGCCATACAATACTTATGGGCATTCCCATTCCCTATTTGTTTTGGGGATTATCGTGCGAGTGGGTAAAAAGATGCCCCAAATACAGAGCAACCCGTTTGTTCTTCACAAACCCCACACTCAGAAAAGAAAAAAGATAATAACTAGCTAGATAAATATTCCACAAGCGTTTCGGGGAAAAATGGTATCGTTTGTAGGGTGAATCCGAACCCTATACTCATTTATCTCACCCAAAAACTAAATGAAGCTCAATTGCTGCTGGACAAACAACAAACAACGTGTCTTTCTAACAGCAAACGAACGTGCCGGATTCGTAACTGCAGCTGCATAATGAGCGATAGCCAACCGGAATGAGCAGATGGACTCATGTTACACGTTGGTGTCGATAAATCAAGCCCCGGTCTTAATCTTCGTCTGATGAAGCTTACTCATGGCAAAGCAAACAGAACTTGGCGAAATGAAAACAAAATTAAAGCAGCAAGCAAATCAATACTTTCAATACTCTACCAGAACTATAAATTAAGTTTTCTCCTAAGTACACACTAAAAATTAGTATAACGACAATGAATAAGTTTAAACGCTGACTGCAGTGTCGAGCCAATAACTTGAATAAGCAATAAGTGTCAGAAAAAAGATGTTTATGCTACGTTAACCTCGAAAAAATTTGTAATTATTTCGTTTAACGATTTAAAAGTCACATTTAATACATAAACATTGAGTTTAATTGGCAATTTGCAATTAGTTTTATGTTTATAAGTAAACAGGTCGTAATGCCTGCAGATATTTCCCATGAACAAGGCTGAAATTACTTTTTATATTCCAGTCGAGCTTGACAAACTGTAGCCTAAAGCGTTAAACCCTCTACTGATAGTATTGAAAAAACAAAAACAAAAACAGAATTAAAGCTGATTTAAGTTGGGCAATTGAGAAGCTGATGAGGCGCACAAAAAACATGAGCCACACATGATATCCAAGGAGCTTGTTATTGCAATTGAGACGACGAGGGCGACTAATTGAACGTGAGGCTAACCTAAGGCAGTCTTATGAAATCGGGCTGCTTTTGTAGCTCTTTGTTTTCATAAATTATTTGGAAAACTGAAGAGAAACCCTGAGTCTCAGATTTACATTTAAGACTGGCCTTGACTCATGTTAATTTAAAGCCACATTTGATACACCTTTAGTATCATACTCTTAATAGAATAGAAATAATATAGTTGGTTGGATTTTAGCAATATAACTCACAAAAGTTCTTAGTCTTACTTTTACAACTTTGTTTTGAGTTCAAGTTCCTTTAAATTTCACGCTCTAATGCGTATAATTTCTGGACATTCTTGCTAACCTGAATAATGAATATCGTCGCTCTGTGTTTTTGTGCTTCTTCTCGGCGACCTGTTCGCAGCAGACACAGGTGAATCCCGACTTTCCACCCAGCGATTGCTGGTGATGAAGCACTGGGGTGGATCCCTTGTCGTTTTCGGCAGCCCTCAGCGATATGGACTTGATCAACTTGTGCACCGATTTGGATCGCGAATGGGTGGGAGCCGAACTACGTTTCACTTGAATTGTATTGTACTTGGACTGCGAATTAGGATTCGAAGTCACATTGTTGTTATCGCACTGGTCAACGCCGCAAAAACCGGCAGTTCCTGGTACGTCGGTGGCGTTTTCATGACCGTGGAAATGTCCGTTTTCGGCCATGTTATCTAACCGGCTCCGGTGGCCGCAGTCACTACTATTGTTATTGTTGCACATGAAAGATAAGCGATCCGCCGAGGTGAGCACTTCAAACACTGTGTGGCGTTAATTGTTGAAAACCGCTCGAAAAAAACAAGCACCGCAAACGAGAGACGTTTCCAGTACTGCGTCTAATCATAAACTGAGCCGAAAGCCGACTGCGAGCGACAAAGAAAAGGTTCTCCCCATGGGGCTTTCGATTTCTGGAGAAAAAAATAACGCAAACTCGCACTCCCACTAAAACAAACTCAAAGTTGGGAAGTGGCGACAAGTAATGGGAGAGTACACTTTAAAAATTAAGTGTACAAATAAAGTATAATTCTATTTTAATTGGGGAATAATTTATTCTGCGACTAAGAACCTTAATAAAGGTAATTTTATGTCTTATTTTAGATTATTTTTTATATATTTAAATCACAAACTTTAAAAGAAATTGGTTTTCACTTTAACTATTTCAAATGTATAAACGATTTTTTTTAATTGCTATAACCTTATTTATTAACATGAAAGTTTTTGGTAAATAGTGCGAACTTTAAAACTTTTTTAAAAAAGGTTAAAGGTACACATTTTTCCATTAAAGGCCATTTTTTGAGTGTATTGTTTGTCTTGAGTGTATAAAACTCGCCTTCAAAGAGCGAAAAACAAAAGGCAAAACAATAACAATGAGCAACAACTGGGAGCTGGTAGCCGTGTTCTTGTGATTCTTGTTGAATTCGAGCTTTTTTTTCGCTCACAGCTGAACTTCTCATAACTGCTGTTGATATTTTTGTTGCTGTTTCGCACTGTTCAGTGTAAATGGGTTTATATCTTTATGACTTGCGCCTGAGCCCTACGACACGCGATTAATACCCCCAGTGCAAAAATATTAGTACACTCTATTAGTCTGAGGCACCAGGTTTAATCGCAAAGTAAGCGTGCAGTGCACAATCATGATGGTTATTTTTAGCTATCCTAATTCTCAGTAAATTTATTAACTTTTCCAAGAATAACATTTGCATGTAATTTAATCTATATAATCTTTTAAAATGATATATTAATAACTCAAAATTTGTTATAATTATTATTTCTTACTTGATTACAAGAACGACTTATTAAAATATCAGAGTATTATTAATAAAAAAAAATGTAGCACATATGTATAATTAAAATAATTTTATATTTAATAAATTCAATTCAAGAAATAAAGTTCTGCCTTAAGCTCAGTAAAGTTTTAACCCATTGCCTTATCCAAAAGAACATGGGAAATCCCTTTACTTATACTATATTTTGACGTTTATCTCCATCCTTCCCGCATGAGTCCCACATCTGGTATCATGGGCCTTAATGACTCATTAGAGCAGAACCATTTAATTCAAAAAAGAATTAAGAGAGAAAACTGACACGATTTCCTCGCATGGTATCGCACCCTTCAGTTTCTACCCCTTCGACAGTTTGGTAATAAGGCAACTGGCGGTGACTCATGACAAATGGTTTAAATTGAAGCAATTCTATTGGAAGCTAATTGCATGGTAAAAGGAGAGAAGAAGTGCTCCCTTATTGTACCATTATAGCAGTCTTTTAAAGATATAGGCTCTGGCAATATTTGATATCAAGGTTCCCCAAATGACGAGCTCCCAGAATGAGTTGATTAATTTTATGAATTTGTTTTTGCCCACCCCTTTACCAATTGAACAGACAGTGAAGATAACACCTGGTGTATCTAGCTAAACACCTGACTACACTGATTTTGAATAGGTCAAATAATTAAAAACAAAATGCTGTCAATAAGATAATGCAATCTAGTACCCAAAATTAAGCTTTAAAAATATATTATGAGTTTTATACCCAGAGGAGTTTCGATAAAATAATTACTTATCTTTTAGCAATTGTAGTTCTTCAAAACTCTCTAATATTATTGTAGCACAAAAGTTTGCCTTTTTTATGCTTTTTTATAAGTACCCAAACAAGAAACAAAAAACTTCTTATCTGGTTAAAATACAAAAATGAAAGCTCTGGGGAATGAGCGCAGAATTTGGAACACAAAATATAAGTTTGACAGTGATTTGTCAAGGAAGTTTCTTAAAATTCAAAACACCATTGAGTTTTGAAGCATTTTGATTCTTTTGTTTGCTAATGTTTCGCGTATAAAATATATATAGACTTTTCAAAACTGACTGATTTCACTGTCATGATATTTGTACGTTACTCACCCAGTAAAACCGCGACGTTTAGTGGACGATGAAAGGGCATCCGCCTTGTTGCGATTGCCTATAAAAAGTGGAAGAATAAAATGAATTTAAAACAGCATTAGATATATGTAAAATCGAATGATTTACCCTGATCCTGCATGTCGGATTTCTGTGAGCCCGCTGCTCCACCTGCATTCGCTCCGGATCCGGAAGCGTGTTTGTGAGCGCCCGGTGGCGGTTTGAGCACTGAGACTGGGACGAGTCCTTCCTGCACGGCGGCATCGTCGTGCTGTGGATTCAGGCGCACCAGGCAGAAGTCCGGCTCGCCGGCGGTGGGCGGCTCTATAATCTCCACCTGCTGGCCCTTGCTCACGCTCAGCTCATTGGTGCCCGAGCTGGCGATGTAGTCCGCTACCACCCATGTGGCCTCCTGGTTGCCCAGCTGGAAGGGATAAGAGAAAGGACACGGGACGAGATGAGAATCGGGTGACGATTTTCGTTCTTGGGCAGTTAACCCGTTTGAAATTTTTTTTAATTTTTAACTAAATTAAGTGGCAAAAGGGTTTATTGACTTGATTTTACTACTTGTACTAGTCTGTCTAGATAATAAATAAACATTTTTTTATTTCAAATGCATATTTAGTTTTTGTTTCGGAATACACAACTAAAACCAGTAAATAAATTTAAATATTCAAACAATGTAAGCATCCATCAATATCATTTTCTCAAAGCTTACATTTAATATTTTTCATTTTGAAAAGGTCTAAAATTAAATGGCAATAAGATTTAGTGACTAGCTTATCATGAATATCCTATTCAGTTTTTTTTTTAAATACTATTTTGAGGGGTTTATTTTTAGATATAAATGTCTCAAAACCTAAAAATACATAAGAAACTTTAATAGTAGATGTGAAATGAACTATTAAAAGTACCGAATCAATTTAAATTTTCAAACAATGAAAGCCATATTATTCAGAATGCCCATCATCAGGAAAATGATTAAATGAGATTTTATGGGCCATAATAGTGGCATCCTGGCATACAAAAGCCGTGTTAAAGGCGCCTTCAGAGGGTTAACATCGTCGAGTCGAGGTCGAGGCCTGACTGAAAACCTTATTGATTGACCGCCAGAACAAAGGCCGAGGACTTTGAGGGCCTCAAGGATCATCGGCAAAGCGAACGAACTAATTAGAAAGCCATTCGAGCTTAGCACACGTCCATTGTGCCATGGAAAACACAAGGAAGCGGAAGGAGGTTCACTTCCGTCAATTTTGATTGGCGGCAGGCCACCAGAACAATCCACCTAATCAGCCCAGAGAACAGAGAATCCACCTCCTCCCTTTGGGTTGTGTGCATTAATAATTTATAAGTTTATTAATTTACATGCGGCCACAGCCAGTGTGGGTGTCGATGTGGAGGCGTCTATCAACTCTTTAAATACCAAGGAGCAAAATTTTGCGAGGCGACAGGGTGATGCATGGGAAAATTGTGGTTAATCGCTAATCGATGCCATTGGATTCTCCAAAGGATTGCCAAGTGCACAGAGCAAAACGGCCGCTTAAAATCAAATTGAAAGCTAAGAGCTGGACAATAAAGCTTTTAATAATAAAAGTATACAAAGTTGTTTTTAACAAGTTTACATAAATATTGGTTATATCTGACACAACAATTGGGGAGCTTACTTGCACCAATAAACTGATAAATGATAAACTGATTAGACCAAAATTTTTGGCTAACAACAATTACAGGCATGATAAACCGATTATCACAGAACATTTAAATACCCTTATATTGCTTGTGAATGAAACAATTAAATGAGTTTATGTCGAAACATTTATCTAATTTGTTATATAGAAAAACTAATTTGTTGTAACACTTTAAACTATTTTATATGGTTTGGTTATTCAATTATTTTTTTTGTATATAATAAATACTTAATATTTCCGCATCAAGATTTATTAAATCATTTCGAAGTGACAATTGATAGCAAAATATGTTCTTTTTATGTCCCAAGCCATAAAAACAATTCAAAAATACTTAAGTATAATTAATCTATAGTTCTAGCTTGGATAAACTTTAATCTAGTTCCCGGTGACAATTAAAAGCCTGGATGTTCTGCTATTTTTCCTGTGCACGCATGAGGCTGAAATATTTCAACTCTATATGAAATTCCTCAGCGCCGTGTGATGATATTTATTTCGCATACAATATTTATGTGGGACACGCCATAAACTGACTGAGGGAGCACAGGCTGCATGGAAACACCTGTCAGGTGGGCTGGTGGATGGGTGCTGGGGGCATGGGGGCATGGGCCAAATGGCGAAATGATGTCGACAAGGCAAGCGGCGGTTGACGAGGTGGTGGTGGGTGGCTTGGGAAGCGGTTGAGGGTGAGGGTGAGGGCGAGGGTGTGGGAAATGGGAAATTAAAGGAGGGGGAGGGGTGGCTGGCGCTCATAAGCGCAATTAAATCAACTTCATCGGCGGACAGGACCAAGAGCAGCAAGCACAGAGAGCTTAGTTTATTATGCTCGCCTCGCTGCCTTTACCCACTGCACGAGTATGTGTGTATTTGTGTGTGTGAGGAAGAGAGAGCTTCATTTTTTGCACAGAAAACAAATCTTATTTATAACATGTCTTTTCCAATTGAAAATATCTCTATTTTCCACCAAAAGAATTATTGCTATTATTTTTGATTTTAAATATTTAAAAAATTTATTTAAAACTTCTAAAATGTTGGGATAATGGATACTAAATATAGTTCAAATTGGCGGAATAGTAATAACTTTACTGATTTTGAACAGTTTTTTTTAAATAAATTAAAATGTTTTTTGTACTACTATTTCAATTTTATTTCCAGTGTAATAGCACACACATACACATACAGGAACTCAGTTTCCTTTTAGGATCCACAGCTATGGTGCTGTTAATTAAGCAGCACTGACACGGAAACGTGCCGCGCTCCCCTGCGCGAGTATTAGTGAGAGAGTGTATGTGTGTGTGTGTGTGTGTATGTGTGCGGTAAAAAGCGTTTGTGTGTGTGTGTGTGCACGTTTCCGCTTGTAATGCAATTAGTTGAAAAGTTTCCGAGGCAAAGTTCTGAAAAAGTTTTTCGACAGCAGCTCTCGCAAGACGAGAGGCTCAAGCTCCTCAGGGGTCGGATGCCAAATAATGTTTTTATTCTTATTTATCTAGGCTCTTAAATTGCCTCTCAGCCTCAATGAAAATTGATTGGTGGCCAAAATAAGAAAACAAATCAGAATAAGATGTTTTTAAACTTAGGTTATGTATGTATGGCTTGAAGCTTCCTTCGAAAATTCCATGGTAAGTGCTGCAGCCGGTGGCGTATACGTAATGCGTATACGTAATGCGTATACGTAATGCGTATACGCAATGTAAGACTCATCATAGCCGTCATCGTCCTCATCATCATCATCATTATTATGGCGGGCTGCAAATTGCTGCAGTCACGCACATCCACCCACACTAACAAACGCTCTAATAAGCTGCCATCGGGCAGAATTTCCCCTCTCATTTTCCCCGCCTGATGTTAAAGCCCAGTGGGTGGAAAGTGAAAACTAGGAGCTAAAGCAGCTGTCAGAAATCGGGAAAATCAACTGAAATAGAGAAGCTCTTTAAAGCTACCATTTTAAATCGCATGGCAGTACCATTCAGCAGCCACATTTCTTCTCAATTTTCACCGAAAATTAACTCGGCTTTCTTTTACCGACTTTTCCATTCCATTGTACTTAGCTACAAATTAAGTTCATGTTCACTTTCGTTTTCAGCTTTTATTTCACCTTCTGACCGGGTCTTTCATTAAAGTAATGAAAGGATATTTCAGTACGAAGCAATGGGAAAATCGAGCAAACGGAGGGGAAAATCGCACGAGTTTTTCCAGCTGCAAAATGCAATCAGCGCCGCCTTGATGGGTTTCGCCTTTGCCGCCCACGTTTTTGCATAAAATAATTAACATGGCTTACGGTTTCCTTTGCGCATTTCCATATTTAATAGGCGGACGCAAGGCTACCAAACTAAATTTACAATTCGCTTTAAGAAACTTGAAAGAGCAAATTTAAAAGCTGTTCTTTGCTCTGAATTGGCAGTCACAAACAACCTCATCTATTTTCCATAGGCAATTGAAAACTTTCCACGCAGATTTGCATAGCTAAAAAGGGGGAAAAACAAACAGAACGGAAAACTCAAGCCTAGAATGCAGCCGAAATTGCGTGAAAGTTGGTAGATTCAAGTCCTGGGATAAAGTCCAAGGACGAAATTCGTTGACAGTCCGGCCTTTTTGCAGTCGACACTTCGACATTTCGAAGGCAAAGTTTGGCCACCGAGTTTTCCCACTCTCGCTGCTGATTACACGCTGATAACAATAATAGCTCACACTCGGAAAACAGACTCAAAGCTCGATTCCTCTTCGAGCTCAGCCGGAAAATGTGCGCCTTCCTTTCTTCTCTGCTGGGTAAATTGTAAAGCGATTTGGCAAAATGTTTACGTTATTATTGATGGGTTCACTCGCTTTGCTACTCTGTTCTCCCTGACAAGCAGGATTTAGGAGCGTTGGGGCAGGTTGCCTGGCCCAGAATGTAAGCTCATGTCTTTGCCTTTCGAGAGGCATCGTAAAAAGGCAATTGCTGCGACGACGACCCAAAAAGCCATCAATTGTTAAGTCATTAAAAAATATGTTTAGGTAAAGGGGGGCACTCGAAGGAGGGCACATAAAAGCAAACGTCAGGGTTGTCAAGTGAAATTACAAACATCATTTAACTGATTGGAATAATGGGACAGCAAGCTGTTCCTTGCACTGAGAAAATACGGTCTCCAAAAGCAGATTAGCTTATCAAAGCGAAGCCTTTTACTTTTCTTTTTTTCACATTTACAAAAACCACATTTCAGTTCTAGTTCAATGTTATATATTTTTTTTTTGAGACCGCAAAAACGGATGTTTCTTAATTCCCTAATATAATTATAATAAAAATTAAAAAAAAAAATAGGCAAAAGATAAGAACACATAAGAGTGTTATAGTGGAACGCCTTTATGGTAGTATACCCTATACACTTATTTATCATTTTGAAATAAGCTTGATCGTTAAAACTTGAATATTCAGTAAATCTGAAACTTTAGAGCCAGACATTGTTTCATATACCCTTTAGCTTAATGACTTTCGGTAAAAAAAAGAAAACAAAATACCAGCAGATGATGTTTTTAAATGCTATCGACAACACTTATAGTGCCTTATTGTTCAGCCAATCCAATTCATAAATTTAGTTTATTAAAAGCTCTCGCCTTGAGCAGTTGTACACAATTAAAATGTTCAAGTCAAATACAATTTTGTTGTACTCATTTGCTACCCTATGCATTTTTGGCCTGACAAAGTCAAATCAAATTGATAGGATAGAAGACTTACTACATAATCTAGGACGCAAAATAAGTAGGATTGAGGATTTATTGGTGGCCCAAAACCAGGTGTTGGACAAAAACATCCCTCCAAGGTTTCAAAAGATTGGATCTCGATACTTCTATATAGAGAGAACACAACGCGAAAATTGGACATCTGCCACCAGCACCTGTCGTGAAATGGGTGGCTATTTAGCATCTTTTAAAAACCAACAAGAACTGGACGCCATTCAACCGAAACTGGAACAATCAGCTAATTACTGGATCGGCATCAAATCCAAGGGCTACTCGTTTCAACAGTTCGTATCTGCTGCCAGCGGCAAGAGTCCAACATTTTTGAAATGGAGATCGGGAGAACCTAATCCTGATTACGGTCATGTTCAATTGAGGGACGGTGAAATGGGCACTTGGTTGGAACGCTCTGAATTTCTTTTCATTTGCCAATCGGACAATGATGTTTAATTAAAAACAATCAAAATAAAATAACAGTTTGTTAACCACAGAAAAATATATACATATATTACATATATCAAAAAAAATAAAATTATTTAATCCATTCGCAAAATCATTCCCATAAAAAGACTGATGCAATTGTACCCTTTCTTAGGAACGCATTTTCAGAAGGCAAACTAACCAAAAATTAACCTTAGGTGTAATATTTTTTTTTTGTCACAAACAAATCGTATTTATAATGTTTTCAAGACCATTTTTTCAAGTGGAATCCAATTCACATTTATCAAATAAAGCTTTAAACCGAAAAATCACTAAGATGCTTGCAGGAAAGTAGAGAACAAAAACTGCCCCCTTCGATCCATTTGATTCGATGTAAGATATTGAGTGGAAGAGGGAAATTTTAGACAGATTTTGTATGCCAGTCAGTTGTTGCTTTGTCGGAATTTGTTCGCCTAAATGCCCTCATGGGCGCCATAAATCACACAGATATGCCAGCGCATACAGAAAAATATGGAAAGGGAAGGAGAAATATATATAAGTATATATATTCACATTTATGTGTAAATAAATGTGTGTACCAATAGATAGCCACAAACTGGCTGTGTTTTTGCTGGGGTACATAAAACATAAACGTCTATTATTCAATTAACTCGCACAGTGGGTTCGTTCGCCGGCAGGTGCAGCAGTCAGGGGTCGTTTCCCGGGTCCCGACATCAATTACGAGTACGTTGTGGCAAACAGCCAGTCGACAACAGAGTAGAAATGAGAAAGGAGCCGGATTCCCACCATTGGAAGGATGAGGAGCAGTAGCTATCGCTCTGTGGTCTGGTAATTGTACGACAACATGTTAACACCGAAAGCAGCCACATTCCCCTCCAATCCACAGCCACATACCCATCCGCTATCGGTACAGGCCCATTGGCCAACCCCGCCTGCTAATGTTCCCTTACAGTGGGTTCTTTGGGTGGAGTGAAGTGGAGTGGGGATGGAGATGGAGATGGAGGCGTGGCTGCCAAGTGGGTGTAAGTGCTGAATGAAACTCATTTAGAGCGCAAATCGAATAATATTCTAAATCAATTACGTGCAACTACGACATGATCGATAACGCAATCTAGCATAGGAAAAAGTTAACTACTCCTTACCTAAATGTGCAGAAAGCTGTCTAAGACTTTAATTGATTTACAAAGTTCCTGGGTAAGTACACTGACAAGGTAATTGATATGGTGTTTATTTGCACTTTTTAAACGAGTTTTTAGTGCACTTTGTAATTTGTAATACAACGAAAACTTAGTTTTGCATACCCAAAGTTTTATTTTTCAGAAAATTTTGTTCAACTAATTTAAAAGTTAAAATTGTTTACTAACTACAAGAAAGGGTCAAGTTTCATCGTGTTTTTTTTTTTTTTTTTGAAACTGTCATTAAATATATTACATAAAACAATTTATTTTTAGACTTTACTTTGATCCAGCGATAAATTTATCAAACTGCAAAAGTAAATGCTAAATGGTTGATAATATATCTTCACACAGAATGAATTATTGTTGTACGCATTATTCAAAACAAATTTTCAACTTGATTTCAAAAAGTCACAGGACACTTAATGACTGTGAACGCAGGAATTAATGAACTCTGCCAGCATTCAGCAGCAAGAATTTTGTCTCCTTATGGACCAATCAACCCGTTATTCCAGATTCCCAGGCCACAAGCACCCAGAACAAGACCAACATTTTGGTGCGAACAGCAGGCAAGGCAAACAAAACCAAGCCGCCGGAAGCCTCGAACTCGGAGCCTTCGCCTCAGGGGCTCAGCCTTGACCAGCCCAAATGCTGTTTGGGATTTTAAAAGAGTTGGCCCCATGTCAAGTTGGGTGTACATGCAGCCCAGTCGCTCCAACCAACAGATCCCCTCTTTAAACCCAGAGAGCTATCAATGCGGGGAGCAGAGGACAAACTTTTGGGCAGAGATGCAACAAAAGCCAGGACATCGGCAATTTGTGGCCGGCAGAGACTCTCTTATGTCCATTGGATTGGATTGGATTGGATTGGATTGCCAGCGGGAACGGGAACTGGAGATGACAGATGGGACGTGGTGCCGCCCACTGTCGCCCACTGCCTCGTATTTTCCCGCTTTTCCTCCATGGGGAGCAATTGTGCGAGAGGCGGGTTTTTGGTTTTTAAAAAATACACGATGTCTATCGATGGGCGTGTCACAGCGTTTGCCATTGATTTTATGGCCGAAAAGGCGAAGCGTTAGGGCAGAAGACAAGAAGGGCAAATAAGCGAAAAGAACAAGCCCAAGGCATCGAATTCTGATGGACATTCTAGTGGCATGTGCAGTTGGCCTTATTGGGATTACGACCTCAAATAAAACGGGCAGCCTTTAAATCGATTAAATCAGCAGTTTCTTTTGCTTGCCTTAGACTGAGCTAGAAAATTAATTATTAAATTAAAGTTGTATAAATAGTAGGTTTAAAACAAATTAATAAAATATTAAATTCAATTTTAAAATCACTAACTTTAGTTTCACTTTGTTGATGGTTCGCTTAGCTTGCGGATTATCTCAGTCTGCATACGTGATATTTTATATTCATCAATTTTAATCTGTGATACGAATTTTGAATTTTCTTTTAACGTATGCACAGTTGTGTACGAAATTGATACATTTGCCTTTTCCATAATTCTCTTTATTTGACAGTTTTGTGTGTTATTTAACTTTTCGATCTGAGATGAGATGCATATTTGTGAGCATGGATTTATTTCCATTTGCAGTTATTTAAATATGAACATAGTTTATGACAAATTGTTACAATTTAGGATTTGATTTAACAGTTTGATTTAAGTGCAAGCCACAAACCAGAAACTGGATAGCTTTAATGTATATGTGGGCCATTTTCAGCATTAAATCTTCCACAAAATCTTATTGTTAAGTGTGCCCTTTAAACGCTTTCCCTTTGCTCTTGTATTTGCTTGGTGCCCCCAATGCCAAGAATCATGTATCTAGTGGGTCTGCAGCTAACATCTCGAGTTCTGCTGACAATTTAGTAACAAATTTGTTTGTTTCTCAGCCTTCCAGCAGCTTGGCATTGCTTTGTCTGCTATTTTTCTCCTCCATTTATATTTTTTTAGCACACTTTCCATCGCAATTTGCATATCAGTGTGCCGTTGAGGAAGCAACGACAAGGGCTTTGTCTGTTTGCCATGTTCTTGAAGAGGGAAAGTAGTTTCTATGCGCAGGTAACTTTGTCCCCAAGTTTTGCAGAATGATGGGATTTATTAAAATTGTTCAACATTTTCAGCACTTTGTTTGCCTGCATGTTTTGTGCAACGCTCAACTACAAGACTTTTCAACGGTTTGCTTTGCTCAACGTTTTCTCATCCGACTAGAAAACGTATTTTCCATTGTTAGAGTGCCAGCATTTCTTGTGGCTCTTGGAAATAGGAAAAATAGAAGGAACCCCCCATCTGTAAGTCAACTGCAGCTGACAGCAGCAGAAGCTGGAGCATCGTGAGACATATTTTTGTGTGGCAGCAAATTTCCTTTTCAACGCGTCAACAGAGAAAAAATAAAGGGGGGGTAAAACTGCTCCTCCTCCACTTCGCTGGCTGCGATTTATTTTGCGTGTGCGCTCAAAAGTATGCCATAACAAAATGCATAAAGTATACGCCCCGTAGAGTGCGCCCCACAAACGGGCAAGGAGATGCCCCACTAAAGTTTATGCCCCACACAAATTTGCTGGGAAAATATTCAACAAGCGCATAAATAATTCCGTGACACCAAATTAAAATCTTGCAGCTTATGCATATGCACAGGAAGAAAAGTGACTGCTTAAGTTTTCGTCCTTTTAAAGTAACTAAAGTTAAAAAAGTTTGATCTATGAACTTAAAAGAATCATTTCTGGATGGTCTTTGGATTAGATAAGACTTAAAAAAGATCTTCATTTAAATGTACAAGGTCATAGCTTGTTAATTTAAAATAAATTATTTAAAAAACTGCCGTTTAAAACTTTTTCTCAATTATAATTAAAAATTTCGCCAAGCAGTACTCCTGACTAGTATCATTAAATATATATTTCAGTGTTAAATATTTATATCTCAGTGTCAAAAACATTTCTCACTGCTGTTAAATGAACTCCCACGACAACAGGAAAACTTAAATGAAGCAGAAATTTATGAAAGGCCGACATCATCAGCATCAAGTAAATTGAGTAGAAAGGGCAATGCGATTATAAGGGGACCAGGAAGCTGTCTACATCGCAGAGACATCACTCAAACCCCCGAACTGCCAAAAGAAGTTGGGGGAGCAGGGAAAATGGAGGCAGGGGCAAGGTCAGCACCAGACACAATGCAGCACAGGAAACGAGATGGAGGGGCAGGGAAGGGCAGCAGAATAAAATCCAGGGGAGAAAACGATGATGATAAGGCTTACATGGCCTGATGAAGTGATAAATACATTATGTGTTGTGGGCAAAAAGGAAAGAACTAGTTGGTGGGTCAAGGGAAGTGGGCGGGTGCGGTAATTGAAGCGGTGACAATGGTGAGTAGCGAGCAAATAAATTAGCGCGCCACACTGCGTATGATTAATGGGCTTATTAAACGGCGTCGCTGCTGTCTACTTGGGTCAACAACCAGTTTATAGGCGAAGCGGGCACTTTTACAAGTAATCAAAATAAATAGCACAGCACACCAAAAAGTCAAAGACCCTTAGTTAAAGAAAGAAATGGTAAGTGGAAGAGTGAGAGTGGTAATCTTTAGTTGAGAATGGGGAATTTCATACTTTTTCACTGCAAATTTATAAAACGCTGTAAAATTTTTGAATGCAGCTAATTGCTTTTTACCACTTTAGGATAATTTAAATGTCTTTAACACTATTTGACACCAGGATATGTTCACAGATTACAAAATCGTTATTCATTCATTTTTAATTGATTGCTTTTTCTGATGGTATATGTATTTGTTAACCACATTAGATTATCTAAACAAATTCTTTCTGATTTATGCTAACATAAAAGGCTTTGAAAATTGTTTTAAACTGCGGCAAGGCATTTTATGTATGTCAATATTAATTTTTGCGCAGGCAATTTGACTAGTCAAACCAATTAGGCGTATTAAATTTTAAACGCTTCACTTAAGTTCCCATTAACACATTATGCTCTAAACCAATCAAGCATAAACTGCAGTGAAAATCAGATTAACAACCTCTATTGCAAGCATCATTTCCCTTAGTGATTGGTATTTTCAGAAATAAAAGCTTTAAGCAACATTAATCGTAGGTCAAGTTACGGCACACTTATCGAAACGCATTCACTGAGTAAAACTGTCGTTTGGTTTGTAGTGGGAGGTTTGAGTCAGCAAAGCCGAGGATATCTTGGCCACAAGAAAATCCATGCCGCAAGCTGGTGACCTTTGCACTTTGGGCCGCCAAAGGAGGCGGAGTGGAAAACTTTTGCCACAGCTAAATAAAAGATAAGCTGGGCAAGTTTCCGATAAGGTCAAGGCAATCGCTAAGAAATATTAATGTCGTAGTCGGGAATAAATTCTTGAAATCACCATGGAAAATTTCTTCAAGCTAATAAGATGCAAAAGTAACCAGCTAATTCTTAAGACCATTTATCAAAATCTTTTTGGTTTAAAGCTGTCATCAATAAGTTAACTTTGACTTAATAATCATAATTAAAGTCATACTTGACTTCAGATTACAAGAATTCTCAGATCTGCAGAGCGTAAGGTCACACTTAACATTTTTAAGACTGGAACAAAAAAGCCTCAAAAGTTTTATAAAGTTTAGTAATTAGTCAAATATTTATACTTGAGTATACCTTGAGTCCACTGCTGCTGGGTTGGCGAAAGAACCGAAAGGAGCTGGGCGTATCGATGGTATGTTGTCGGGCCAAAACTCCGTGCCCGGTTACGCTGGACTGTCGGAACCAGGGCAGCGAGATTTTGCGGCGACTTTTCCGCTGCACGGGAACAGGATTGGGGGCGGGATTGCTGGTGGGTGTGGCCACAGCGGGAAAGGTGAACGGAGACTGCTCCTGCTGGGTGTGGCCATTCTTGCCAAGTGTGGTTCCGGATCCAGCCGGCGGTGGGGATGTGGAGTCGTCCTCCTGCAGGGTGCACAGTGGAGTATTTTGAGCGGAGTCCGCTATGGACGGCGACGGCGAAGGATCGCCCACGGCGATGGGCGCACTCATGGGCAGTGGAGTGTTGGGCAGGGAGACATAGCCCTTGGTCGGGGTATCGTCGCCGCACTTAAGCCGCTCCAGCGAGCTCTTCTTTCCCCCGGCGGTAACGCCGTCGGCGGAGTCCACACTGCTCATCCGCTCATTGAGAAACTTCTTAACACTCTTCATGATGCCTTGACTCCTTTGTCTCCTCCTCCTTCTTCCCTTTTTTGCTCTATCCAATCAATCTCATTTTTCGGCTAAATCACAGTCCAAAGAAAAGCGGTGGGCGGTGGGCTCTTTTATTTTATTTTTAAAACAAATTCGGGGCTTTGTTCGCAGCCAGCTGCAAATCGATAAAGTTCTCCAACTCCTAGACCGAAATGTTTTATTTTTATTTTTAATCCAACGTATGTGCGAGTGTGTGTGTTAGCGAGAGAGAGTGCCTGATTGGATTTAACATCCTGCAGGATGCTCACACACACAAACACTCGCACACGCACTGTGTATCTATATGGCTTTCACTTATGGCGGTGACAGTTTTGCTGCGGTCTCGGTTTTCGCTGTCTTTGACTTTCAATTAGCGCAACGCGGCGTATGATTAATTTTAAGCTCGCAGCCTGCATTTTGCATTTTAATTAACAGTCATGTTTACACATTCTGTGCTACTATTAATTATGACCTTAATTTGATTGAATGTTTTAACATGTCGATTTTAAACAGTTCTTACGTAAGCAAACAAAGCTGCACAAAATGTTTATATTGATTGGTACAAAGACATTTATTTTTAGGATACAAAACATGATTAAACATTAACAAGTTAAAGTGTTAGAATTGGTTGTTATTAAACAGGATTATTTATCTCTTTGTTAGTTTCATTTAGTTATTCTTGATTTATAATTTCTTGGAATTCAAAGTCATAAATTGTTTATTTAATTGCTTTGATTATTGTTCAAATTAAAGTGAATTGAGTAAATTAAAAAAGCAACCGCCGCTTTCCTATAGTTTTTATCTGTTACCACTTCTCCCGCTTCTGTTTTGATTTCACTTGTTTAGTTATACACGCATATGTATTTTATTTATTTTATTTGCATAGATAAAATGCTGGCCACCGCCAAACGGCGAAAAATTTATCTTGAATTTTCTTAGCGCACGTTTGTTTACCCCGAACTATTATATGTCTGTATATATGCCTATATCTATGCACATGGGTTTGTTATTTTTACACATTTCTGTTGATTGCTCGTCGGACGTAGCCAGGCGTTTAGCGCGTGTTTCCGAAAAAAATAAACCCAAGATTCGGAAGATGCGGCAGGTGCGCCATAGCGACTGCCACTTTGCCCGGTCCGCCGATCTTGAAATTGCGGACGAGCAATTATGATTGGGCTTTACTCTGATTCTATGTGCTTTTCTCACTATTTTGGCACCACAGTCCCTATACCTCTATAATAGTTCAGGGGAAAAACATTTTCGAATAAACGATAAGGAGGGAAAGGCGAAGAAACTAACCAATGTGAATCGTGAAAGACTCTTTCTAAGTCGAAATTGGGAAAACGCTTCAATTGTAAAAAAAATTGGTAGCATTAAGTTTTGAGCTTTAACAATTTAATAACAAGTTTATAGGCGCTTAAGTGACT